GCTACCTTCATTGCGGCTTTTTATTCTGGAATGACATGATCAAGAACTATTCTTGCCTGACTAACAGAAATATAGTGCACACGCTTTGAAATTAAGACGTATTTTACATTGGAAATTATATTTCAGTTTATAGTTTTCGCACATAAATTAAAGATCTTTTTTTTTTATTAACACGGATTGCCGAGACTGTGTGAAGACTAAATTTGTTATTACATGTCTGGGCAGAATTATTCGCGTAGTTGTAAAATGAGTATCAAGTGCTTACCATTACTACAAGTGTTATTAAGTGGTGTTTTATCGGAGTTTTATCGATTGTTAATATTCCCAATTGGAAGTCATTAAAGCACAAGAATTTCTTTGTTCTTTCTTTTTTTTTTCAGTTACCACGAAACCAATTCTAATCTTAGAATTTCCCACGCAGCTAAGAATAAAGTATTTAGCAGATATTACAGCTGCAATGTGGGTAATTTTCGCGGTCTTCATGTATGGGATGTGAAACCTTCAGCCGAAACGGAACGATCGAGTGTTTAACACGACGTGGAAGTAAATATTGCAATTGGCTTTCAGATATATGACGTTTTAGCAGTTATATCGGAAACTGACAGGGATATCGTGAAGTAAAGCTATTAAAATGTTGTATCAGTTTAAAAAGAATGGTTAACAGGTTAGAGTATTGCTTTTCACATACCGCGGCCTGACGCAGCAGAATTCACCGGTTCCTTTAGTTTCAAAATGAAAGGGACCTTTGTCCTGAGAATATCACGTGATGTTCTCGGCGTGATACTTTGCCAATCCCACCGCTGTCTCTTGTCCGGTCTCCGGTGTTCCTCTAAGAAGGTGGGCTCAGTTTCTGGGGCTAGTGATCGAGTAAGTTGTAAGTAATTTTCCACGAACACCCCCGCCCCCTTTAATCCTACTATCTGGAAGCTCCCTTAACGTCCCCCTCTTTCTCCCCCCTCCCCGCCCCCTCCTCTTGACCAAGTCCCTGTTTTGGTCTTCTATTTCTTATAATCTCTTAAAGGTCACTTGTGATGTTTTCAGAGGGTAGAAATTTTATCCCCTACGACTTTTTCTGTGTAATTTATTTCATTTCTGTTGGAAAGGGATCAAAATTATCTAACGATTCTCTTATCCAGCATCACTTGAGGATCGCTCGGTTGGGCTCTTTTTATGGCTTAAGAATTAAACGAATCTCTGAACAAGCTGATCTTCAAACAGAATTAAGATAACGACAATACTGACCAAAAGCTTTTGATATTTCTTCCAGGTAAATCCAGAGAGCAAGTGAACGCTCCACGACTGAACAATACAGAGTTTATCGTACAAATAAGCGCAGAGCAGAATGAGTATGTCAGCAGTGCAGATGAATGTCAGTTTCTTGCAGGTTTTGTCTGAATTTTACGACGAGGACAGATCAATGAACAGTCGTTATTGTATTCAAGGATGTGAGGAAAAACAGATACGTGTGCAACGTTAGCTCAGCGTCGAAATTTGATAAGCCATTTGTTAGAATATTATGTTCCAACCGCACGAAAACCC